TTTCCTGAGTCCTGCATGTTCCTAGCACTGTTTCTGTTACTGTGGATTCAGGGTAAATAAAGCACCTGGCCCCTGGGTAGTGGGAGAAGCAGGCCAACAGGCAAATGCAGCAAGCTGGCGAGCTCCAGAGTGTGGTAACGGGGATGGGGTGGTAGAGGTAACAGGGAACCGGGCGCCCCACTTAGCCTGGGTGTCCAGGGAGACCTGTGTTCATCCTGCTAGAACAGCCAGGGAGGGCTGGAGCAGCAGGGCAACACAGGAAGCAGGTGAGCCCGGAGAGGCCAGGGAGAGGGTGAGCTTGGGCTAAGGTGGTAGCAGCGGGCATGGGGAGAGGTTGGCGAGAGAGAGATTTAGGGTTTGACGATGGATGGAAAGGGGGTGGGGAGCGGGGATGACAAAGATGACTCGGATTTCTGGCTTGAATATCTCAGCAGGTGGGGAAAAGCCAGACTCCCATATGGGCCCCTTCTAGCCTTCTTAAGCAAGGCCCTGGGAAGGGAAGCCACTTCTGCCACCGGCCCCTATCAGGAAGCCAACTACACATCAGTTGCTGGGTTAGACCATGCCTCAGGCAGTCCCAGAGGACCATCCACCACGGCCACCAACTCAGCTCCATTCTGGTTGCCTAGAGAGTTCCAAAGGACCCCTCTGAATCCGGCTTCATTTGCTCAGGCTGTGAGGAGTCAAAGAGGATGCTGTGACTACTAACCATGACCTTGGGGACGGGTGGGTCCACGGGGCCAGACCAAGGGAATATGGTATTGGTGGTGGTCATTTTCAAGGACTCCTCTAGGTTAGGCAAATGTCTCAAGCCATCTGTGGCTCTGTTCAACTCGAGGCCCCATTGGCTCAGGAAGGCTCAGCTTCAGAAGACTTGGGGTTTCAAAGAACCAGGATTTTGTTGGGAGGCGATATACAGGGATGGACTCAAGGGAAGTCTGGAATGAGAACAATCATGATCCCCTCATTTGGTGACTTTTGCATGGCGGATGGGTTCATTACAAGAGCCATAAAAGGTGGCGCCTGGAGATAGCTGGGGTGGGGGGAAGGAAGAGCCCCCCAAATGCCACCTGAATGGTAGATCAGAGTGGCCAGGACAGGTGTCCGTCTCCAGAAATGACTCCTCTTGCCTGAGCCTGCTTTTTAGCTTCTGTATCTCCTGTCCTTGCCACACCATGCCTAGAAGGGCATTTTTCTCAGCTGCCTATTTTGGTGTTTTTTGGGGGGAGGGCGGGCATTCGGGGTCATTGTCTGGGAATGAATCCTGGACAGCAGGAGGCTGCGGCTCTCACTCTCCTCCCATCATCTGTCAGCCAGCGAGGGTGGCCGGCAGCTAGGCGGCGGACTGCCTAATGAAGACAGAGAGGTGCTCCCGGCTGTGCCCAGGTGCCGCTTCCCCATTAACAGAGGTGACATTCCGAAGCACGACTCATTACAGAGCAGACATTGGACAGCGCTGGGACACGTATTGATGGCAGCGGGGCCAGCCAGCATCTGACTCAAATCCCTGTGGCCCTGAGAAAGCAAGGGAGACAGAGAGAAGCATCCGGAGTGCCAGGCCGGCAGGTCCCTCGCTGCAGAGAAAAATGAACTCTTGAAAGCCCTGTCGTTGAGGACAAGTCATTCTCTCTGCTGTTTTCAGACCCAAGGGTTTTTAGCTTCGGGTCTGCCCCACGGTGCCCGGCTCCGGACGAATCCGCTCCTTCCCTCCTAGGAAGGCTGTGTAGATATCTGGCTGAGGGGACAGGGGCGTCTGGTCCTCAAAATAACACCTAGGTTGAAGCCGGTGGAGTCGTGGTCTTTGAGGCCTGGGGATGCACCCAAGGGTACAGCTAGGAGGCACGGAGGGCTCCGGAGAACTTGCAGAGGCAGGGTCATCGGGGCAAGGAGCAGGTGGGCATCCATACAGAGGAGGCAACAGGACAGAGCTCCCTCTGACATGCGATGCGTCGTTTCCTTGGGCCAGGAGGAGCCTGCGCGCCAAAGGAAGAGAAAGTCTTCCCCGCACGTACACACCCCACCCGGCCCGGCCCGGCCCGCACCCTGCAGCCCGCAGCCCTGCCAGGACC